ATCCACTGCCTTTGGAAGCAGTCTGATTACGGTATCGATCATCTTGGGAGATCTATGGAGAGGATGAAGTTTAATGCGTTCTGGATGTAGTTGACTGGGGAAAGGTATAGTTTACTTGTCAACCAGTTTTTCATGAAGTCTACACTCGTGATCCATATTGCGTGAATACCATTAGCCACCTGATGGGCTTGTGATTGGACTATACAGAAAACCAAGATGGTATAGATCAATTAGATGATAAATGCGTGCACTGGTGATTGGACCCGAACATCTCACTTAACTGACTCATAAAACTGTAACCGGCATTGAGTCGCTTTGCCACATGTGCAAGCAGGAGATTACTACGCCCAGTGCTCTTAAACCCGAAGATCAATTTCTAACCGCTGTGTCAAGCACCTCTCGCAGTGCTCAATGGCCTATTGATAATGGCGAGAGCCGCCAAGCGCTATGTTCCGAGTTCCACTCCCAGCTCGGCTATCTCTACCTCATGCGTCCAAACCAGGACGAAATATCGGTCGTGGAGTGCAGGGATTTGAGAGAAGCACACCAAAACCCTGCACCGTTAACAAGTGCACGCAAGCATTCGTTACGAAGTAAACGTTGTCTCCGCAGGTGAACCTCACTCCATTTTGTCATCGGTATTTAATCTTTCGGCTCAGCTGCCAAGTACCGTCATCCCGGTTGTTTGCACACTAAGATGTGCTATAGGTTAACACAAAACTGTTAACGACTGAGGTTGGCTAACATTCAAACAGTACACTTCGCATCTAAGAAAAACTATCGTAACCCGTGAATGCACGACAACAATACCATGATCAACGAAAGAGCCCAACAAATGATAAATAGATGTGTATGTCCAAACGGAACTGCATTGGTCGATGACAAGGGAACAATGGGTTTACCACGGATAAAAAAGCAGTGACTCCAGTTTCGAGACCTGCTATGTTTACTTGATGAGAATTAAAATGGACGAAATGCGTCGTGTGGTGCAGTGTTTTGGTCAGACAACACCCAAATTCCTTGTGTTTCATCAGCGACATTCTTAGTGACCGATTTGACCAGAGTTCACTCCAACGCGAATGGCGGTTTACATTGAGAGTACACTTCAAAATGAACCTCCAAAGGCTAAACAATTTCCGCAGATTGAGATTGGGACCAAAAACTACATGCATCAAGAACAGGTAATGCGTAACGGTGAACTCACCGTAACTACCACATGTACACACAGTTTGGTTACGTTGCTTGTGCCCCCAAAATTGGGTTAATTTATGTAGCGCATATGCCGTAATGCATCACCAAATTGAATTTCGATTTCCTCTAAAGCGACAGCAGAAATGACAGAATGACATAAGAGCAATCTCTGGGTATGTTGGGCACACAACAAACGCAGCGGCGTCATTTGGCCAGATAAAGCTCACGCTGCTCTCCAAGATGACGAATGCCGTCGAAAAACTCCCGTCTCTACAGAGGATGCTTCGCGTATAGCCCGTGATGTTGGAGTGCAGAAACCAAAATATAGCAGCGTTAGTCATTCTTGTCTTTTTCCTGTAATAAATACCAACAAGCAATAACTACACTGGGCTGCACGAAGATCTGCTTTTTACGAATGCAACACGAGAGGCTCAATTGCAATGTCGATGCCGCATGGTTCATCCATCAACTGCAAATTGTCTCCCATTCTGCAAGGGTATGTCCAGAAAACTTTTCAATCCTTCACCCTTCAAGAAAATGATTGCTAACATGTCTGTCAGCAAGTAATATTGCTTGATTCGGTGTGGTCAAGATTAGGATGACGAATGACCTTTGCTCTCATCTACGAAAAGGTCAATATTTCACCAAGTTGACCTGACGCCGACATGACAAATGGAACGATTTAGTCGACGAACCCGATGGAATCTACTCCACCAGAGCCTTCATTGAAAATAAAATCCAAGTACTTCCCAATACGGAGAGCCGTACTCAAAGTTCGCATATTGGACCAAGCCTATGCATCAGTCGATACGAAGCACATTTGTTCACCAAAAGTCCCCTACTATTTGCGAAGCAAAGTATTTGGAGATTCAGTCCTGCTTCGCTGACTCCAACTCTCCATATTGGATCGGATGGATATAATCCTGAGGTAAACAAACATCAAAGAACACATCCAAGCTGGACACACACCCGTTACCATTGTCAGTTTTGGTATGTTACCAGTCTAGTTGGTAAACACTCATCTGCGATGGTTGAAGCACAACCAATCATTGGGAAATCCATGCGTCGGAAAATGCTGTAACTGACTGATTATGTCTACTTTGGTGTTTCTTGCGCTAATCGAGAATAAACACTATGCATTTATCCATTTTTGTTTCTCCTCCCGAATTCAAGTAATTCTAACATTTTATAGCACAGTCCCCCATTTTCAACACCTGCCTAGAAGACGTCTCTTCACTTTATTCAACGGGTACAAGCTGCGGGTTTCCGTCGATATTTCGGCCGTTTCCCCTCTCACGGCTGATGGCCTTTATCTTAGTGCCACGTAGCTTACGCAACCTGTGGTTTCGGCATTCAAGTGATTTCACGCACCTTTGTACCTGGAATGTTTATGAAGATGTGGTCTGCAAACCGAAGAATCTTGGGCTTGAGGACCATTGAGAGGTTTTTAAAAGTCAATAAACTGTCTGTAGGCTTTCCTGCGTTTCCTGTTCGCTGACAGGCTTTTTGCTGAGTTTGCTCTTCGTGTTTATCCGTGCTATAAGACCTATCAAGCATTAGCTTTTTACCCGTTATATCCCAATGTATCAATGACCTAGAGATGTTATAGTGCATCCACCCAATCAATCTGGATCTCTTCTATGCCTTTGTAATTAACGTCCTCTAAACTTTGCCTGTTCGATAATAGGAGTGTTCTGATTCTACTGGCCTGACTACTTCGACTGTTGCTCAATGTACACTGACAAATGATCCTAAATCGATGACAATATTTGGACTAATATGTCTCCCAGCAAAGAGTGTAAGTTGGTAGTATTATTTCACTCCAACTATCCCATTGATACATCTTTGGTTACTGTGTTGACATAAAACGTGTAAATTACTATCTTAATGGCTGTACTCTTCTATTTTGCTTTCCAATGGTTACCACACAGTTTGTTTTAACCCTCGAGATAGATGTGCGCTTCTTCGAATCTCAGTTGCTGTTGTTGCAACCACTTGTCTGATATGCTGCGTTGAGACGATTGCACACTGTCGTAGTGGTCGTATTTACTATTCGGAGTCAAGTTGAATTCTACTTCAAGCCAAGTCACACGCGTAGCCGAAGGCCATACAACGATGGAAACTACTCGAACGTTGGATGATCCATTATCACTTTTAATCGGTCTGCCGTCTGCGTTTTTCCCCTTAACTTTTGGGAATGTGTGTTTAAAGCTCTGATTCCGACTGTGATATTTAACTGCAGTTGTAGTAAAAAGCAGCTACCCCATCGTGTACATGAAATTGTGGGGGACTTTTTAACATAGAGTGGTAGTCCTAGATTAATATCGTCTGCTCACATACTGCACGCATTCCTTGATCGTATGGGCTAGATTTGGTGCTTGTGAAATCATCAGTCCATGTAACATCCGCTTTATGTATTTTCTGCCCAAATCACACTCGGCGCCACATTTTAATCATATGGTGTTTGTATGTCAGGTGTTCAAAAACGCACGATTTCAAGGAATTGTTGCCGCTCACCAATTCTGGCATCGAAGATAAAGTTTTCCTCGAAGCACCTATATTCTGTTACTTTCGCTTTTCATCTACCGGTACGATATGCGTGAAAGAATGCCCCTTGCACCTTAGTTACTCAAATGCTTTACATTCTAAAGTGGAACTAATCATAAAAGTCACAGCCTGTGGCATGAAAAGAGTTGCAACTACAATATTACCACTACTGGTTTACTGCCGCCGGGTTCAATTCGCCAATCACCACACATCGAGAAAAGCCCTACAGGCTCGTTTCATCCTATTAGACTCCTCAATGGAGCGCATCCTCGGGATTCTGCGAGATCCAAACCCATGCAATTACTCTCACTACCAAATGGTTTACATTACTGAATAATTGGAGACGATATTTTGTGAAGATCTGTCTCAGTTAGACTCAGAAAGATTGCCACCACACATCTAGGAAAGCGTTAGACAGCCATTTCATCCTAATGAGGCACCTCAGTAGCGTGCACCCGTCGAATCCTTCCGGATTATAACCCTCGACCTTACTCTTACGAGCCAGCGACTTATGCCACTGAGCTATAAGCGACGGCAGCGGACCGACATAACTGATATCTAACTACGATATAGCGTTGTTCATCCTCCACTCTCATGCATGTTATGAACGTGCGGAGGACAGGGCTATCCCCCAGAGCAACGACTTCCTTTGCAATCCGCCACCAATCGAGGTGGCATTTAAGCTGTTAAGGGGACTGTTTATTATTTGTAGGTAGTAGGGGGGTTATTAATGACTACTATGACTGTGTTTCTGCGGCCATAGAGCGCGCCTCATCTTCAACCATCGTGTACCTTACTGCCAGACAGAGGATACGACTGCCACCCCAAATGTACGATTTCCTTTGCTAAACTGCCATTTACTTTTTGGTCCAATAAGCCAACTCTGGTACCCAATGTGTATTAGATGGATTTCCATGGGTTTATTTCAGTAAGCTCCTGAGCGTAACTACTATATCACAGTGACACAAAACGACCGGCTAACGCTTTTTCAGGCATATGCTAGCTGTTTGGCCCAGTGCGTCCTAGAATAATATGCACAAAAACACCGCGGCATTCCCTATTGCTATAATATATTAAAACATTTGGAACAGTACTTACATGTTGATAACAGCCAAATAGGGGAAGTCGCGTGAGCTGTAAGGGTGGTACAGCTCTTCAGTCAAAAATACACACAGCTTTGAGCTGCGACAGGAGGGTAAGTAGCGTTAAGCTCCCAGAAGCACAGAAAGAGAATGGCTAAATCGTTAATAGGTAGCACTTACCATTATCAGAAACACGTTCCAATAAAAATATCCGGGTCTTCTAGCTGCACGGCAGGTGACAGAAATGCATGGGTGACACTGGCTTGAATTAGTGTACTCTTGAGTCGCAGAGCGTCTGGTCACCTCGATGTGTTCGTGCAACTTCCATTCCTTGCGTGCGCAACCAAAGAATTTTTGAAAGCAGATAAAGTATGAATAGTCGGAACATATTTACAATTGAGTTTATGCTGTGTAAGAAGATCTTCTCGAGTTAACTTCTCTTGGGGATGACCACAGATTAAATATTCGTTCACAAAATATTTGAGTAGCTACAACAATCTCAAGCTAGGTGTCACATAAAAACTGAGTAAAACAATTGCACGGGCAAAAATGGAGAGCAGTTTAATCGGAAAACACTACACTGTTAGAGCAGTGGAAGACAGACAATACCGAAATTCGCAAAGTTGCACAATGAATCATGTTAAATACCACATTTGTCAAGTTAAGTGACACGGCAATTTCAGAGCCGGTGACAAAACAGGTTAAGAAACAACTGTTGACCATTTCTGAAGCCATTGCAATCAACGTTCTGAAACCAGAACTGTGCAACCAGCGCACAAATATGACATTACTGAATATATGACAGAATTTTACATGTAGATAAAATGTCTTGGTTCTTTTCGTAGTGGACATACTCGGGTGAAGAAAAATGTCAATAAGCCAGTAGCTTGTCTCTTAGTAGTTCTCTATATGCCTTAAAACTATTCCGCAGACTGCGATGGTATTCCCTTAAACGCTGTTCACTATGCTGTTTTAAAAAGTACTCTCAACACCTGCTAATGAGCGACTTTATTGCACCTTCAGTAGTAGCAGTTTCCCTCAGTGGGCCATTAATCTAACCAAAACTTCGTGAGTCCATGCATATGGCTGTTTTGTATAACCATATGCCTCAACCATTCACCTAACACCATAACGTTTGGCCTGATGTTGCGTACACCATGCTTCTTCATGGCAGTTGGACTACACTGACTTACTTACTTACTTCATGTTACTTTATTTTACCGTACCTTACCATTACCATAGCCTAGGAAACCTTTACCTAATACAGTATGGAAAAGCAGTGCTTCCTCGATTTGGTGGCAAATTGGCAATATGATGGACATGTTCAAGTTGGATCATGCATTCAAATATCAATCGCTCTGGAACATCCGTGGAAAGTGAACAGTCCCGGCAAGTAATTGACTAGCGATTAACATACTGCTGTTGATGTGTCATGCTAGGTTTCACATTAAATCTGTTAGAATGATTAGAGCTATAATTCCCGTTCTTCATCTGAAAACCTAATCTTAGCTGAGCTTATGAAAATAAGTTGATTCCAGCGCACCATTTCCCTACAAACCTGCATAGTTGCCTACTCACGGTCTGTCATCTTCTTTGTGTGTCATCCTTATTCCATTGCTAATGTAAGTATAGCTTGGGTACAATTGCTATGTGGAATGATGCTATACGGACTTGGTGCAACGCAGTAGCATTATTGCACCTGTCTAAGAGGCACCTACTAGAAGTTGTCTTAGACGGGGTCAATCTTCTGGGTAGACTAAGAAAAAGGTAATGCCAACGGAAATGGTACGTGTCTTGGTAAATTACATCGGAAAGGAATCAGCGCACAGGGAAAATTTGTTCACTTTACGAGCACCGAGTAGCTGCACCCCAGGCGTACTAAAGTAGATCGTAACCAAGTAGTTTATAGCCACAACTGGATACAAAACGATATGTACAAACGGATGAGTATTTGGATGACAACCATGCTACATCTTGGATATTTGCAACACAGTGCGAACATTGTTTGGAAAACCGCAAGTTTGACAGTGGCCAGTGGGACTTAGTTGATCTAGTACTATAGCAGTTGTCGTGCCAAATAGGCCGTAAGAGGCGAACACCAACAGTACGTATTGGGTACTTATTCTCATGCCTGTGCAAGTAACTCTTAGCCTGACCTCCAAATGAAACCCATACATGTTTGTTCATACATGCCTGTTCATGAGGACTAATGTGTCTCTGTCCAGTTTGTGACAGTTAATAATGAAGTCCGTGGAAACGCATGTGCATATGTTGTATTCGAACTGCCATTGGACACAGAGGACGCCAATCTATGTATATATGTATACCGAATGAATTCCACGAGGATACTCATACCGCTTTTGTACGGTTAACTTAGTGCAGGGAAACGGCACTCGAGCAAACCAGAAATAACATTACCAGAACATGAAGAAGGTGAGTTTATGACAAACTCATGTCGAATTCAGGTGTTGCGAATGCACGGCAAATTTGATCGATGCGAACTCCGTGGACTTATCAGAAGGGCGGATGCTCAGGTGCAGGAGAAGGTACTATTGCACGCGGAATAGAAGCATGATACGTACGCTCCAATTCGATTTACTAATCCAGGCCAATAAGGCGTCGTATGTGGTACGTTTGTTTGCATGCTGAGTAATCTTGCATTTCAGAAGTAGATGTCGTTTGAGCTCCCCGGTGTGGATGCGCTTGGTGTGAATGTTGACAAGGTGCCTAACTGTCTATTACCCACTACCTCGTCCATACTGGCTCCAGGAGACAGTTGGTGGTCGCTGGAGGGGACGGAGTGCACCGTCCTCGTGACGGTGCTAGGCTTAAAGAGTGGTTCCATCCTGTGTGCAACGAGCTAAGGTCCAGCCCCCGCCTCGTGTACGTCTGGTGTGTATGATTTCCCAACTAGGCCGGAATGCTTCCGTTCTGCTTGTTGAAGGAGTGTGGGCCGGCTCCGTTGATGAAACGTGGCGCCCATTCACATGCCTCCCGGTCATATTCCTTCGGGTTTACACCGGATATGGGGTGTGTGGATGGAACTATGGGTGGTGCAGCGCAAGCCACCCATGGTCCCCTTTGTAGGCGCAGGCGTCCTGTGACTGTCCCCATGGACGTCACAGTGACAGGCAAATCCGGATACGGCCGTCGCCAAATCATGCCTCAACCAACCAGATACCGAGGTTCAAACTAGTCACCAATTCGAGACTTAATCCCGTTTGATGTGGAGTTGATGGTTGAGTCAGGCGCGTACGACCATCCACTAGTTAGTAGCAACTATTCAGTCCCGACGTTCGGTTATGCGGGTTACGCTGGTATTGTTGCGAAATAACGAGAAGCTCGACAAACTATAACTGACCATTTAAAAGTTTACAACCTAACGACAAACTTTGAATGGGACTTCCAGCAGCAATGTGTCGTAGCCGATGCATGAAATGAATTAAAGTTAAAGTTAACTGGATCATACAATTTGCCTCAAAAGCTGTACGATTAAGAGTATGGCGCCGGACCAACACCTAAATCCGAAGCAGAACGCGTAAATAGATGAATCGTGGAGACGAGATACCGAGGCATCATGTGATAAGCCCATGTGATACCATATGGAAGAATAACAAAACGATCAGAAACTACTGCGCTCCACTGAGTACAGCCGATAAGTACGAATGGCAAGGGATCATGGTACTCAAGTTTACGAGTAACACCAAACTGCTTTACAGGTAAATGAGTGGAAAAAGAAAGGTTAGGACTGGAATACTATTACTCAAGACGACCGGTGGCCTAACCTCTGCTGGTGTGGATACTGCGAACACACTACTCTTTCAGTTTGGCGCAGTGGTTACAAACACCATGGAACCTTCACCTAGTCACCACCCAGCAGATGCTGCCAAATTATCCAGTGTCCCCCGCACTTCATCAGCTGTCGTAAACGAATTACAACCCCCGAAAAACAGGGCCCGGGGAGTCCACATGATCAGTCCAAAGATTTTAAAGCTTTCGCCCAACCATAGCGTTGTGTCAAGTCAAGTCAACATAACCTTTATACATCTGTGTGGCGTGGAAGTCAAAAATTGTAAGCAAGGCGGAAACCCACGAAATTAAAAGAAGTGGGAGCCAGCGTTGGCGCTAGGGAGGAAATGCAGCAAAACAGTTCTAGGCCTAAGCATAGAGCCAGGAATGGTCCACAAGGGACCAATATAACGGGCTCACGCGAAGAAGATCGTGGAACGTAGTAGTGGAGGGCCAGCTTTTCTAGACTGATGCGCCTTTGGTCACGCCTACAGTAATAATCACAAGCAGAGCAACACAACGCAGATTGAGGAAATCAAGAGTTATGGAACAAATAATAACCGATCAGAAGGGAACGGACAGAAGCGGAGATATTGGGTGAAGCATGAAACGTTATGCAATACCGCAAACTGCGTAGCTGCATGGACTTGTTGTGAGCGGATTCAAGAAAAGGTGTTGCGTCGTGCGAGGGGAACATAACCTATTTGCGTGAATTAGTTGCCTGTTGTCGCGTCAATAATGGTTGTGCTGCATTGCCGCGTCATTCTGCTTCAATAGCAATGCAAGTTGTGGCCTTTTATAGTCACTAAATGAATCTCTTTCACACCTATCTACGTGGAAACATGAAACCCTCTCTCTTATGTACAGAGGAGTTGAGCTATCGGATGCTACCAAGTAGCGACTTATTTCTGTCCTTCCTGTCTTACCAAAAGTGATGCAGACAATAATCGCAGATGAAGTGACGCCATATTCTGAAAATCTGCAACCTACTTCCCATCTCCAACGTGATTCCTATTCTGAACTCATGGACAAGGGCATCTGATGAAGGAATCCCCATAGATGTGGTATACGTAGACTATTCTAAGGCGCTCGACAGGGTCAATCACTTCCTTCTCCTTTCAAGCTTGCTGCCTACGGTACCAACGGTCCCCTGCTTACCTGTTTGGTAGGTTATTTACACGAAAGAACAAACAAAGTAGGAACGGCCGACAGTCACTCCAAAAGCCTGTGCATATGTAGCTGTGAAACGCAAGAATCAGTCCTCATCCAGCTACTGTTGTAGTCTGTATCAATGAACTCCCAACAGATATTCCATCTCCAATTTAAATATTTGCAGCTAATGCTATGGAGAGCAGTTCACTTAACATCCGACCTTGGCTATCTCCAGGATGATCTGAACCAGATTAACGAATGGGCAGAGATGAACCAGTTCATCCTGGACCTTGCTGCTGACGCTGCGCGGCAGCTTCAAAAACATGTGTTTTGGGGCAGAGTGTACTACAACAAATGACTAGTGAAATCAACGAATAATGTTGTCCAGT